GACGTTTCAGAGGAACGTATCGCCTCCATCTTCAAGGTAGAATAATCCGCGAGCGAGAAACCAGCGTTATAGCAAGTGGCTGGAGGTGATACGTTCCTCTGAAACGTCGGTTCACACAAGATCTACACTGCGCCACATCCCAGAAGACGGGATTCTTCAAGTCTTTTGTTTGTGTCTCGTATCTGCTCTGTCAGTGCTGGGAATGCTTTGGTGGGATGCGTGAAATCTAGTACGCTACATAGAGGAGACAGTTTACGACACTCTATGTGCGCTCTTTATTCGTGGGAGATGGCGTTAAACACAGACTTCGACGTATCANAGTGATGATGCTATGCAAAGTTCCTTAACTTAAAATCGCGAATAATTATTAAAGTGCTTATTTTGTGTACATATTACATATAAATGCCGGTCACGGTAGCCGAGCGGTCTAAAGCATGTACTGTTTTCGCTCGCTTGGAAACTGGGATCGTGGTTTCGAATCCCACACAGGGCATGGATGTTTCTGTGCGTTTTTCTGTGTTTGTGTACAGGTAGAGGCCTTGTGACGAGCTGATCACCCGCCCAAGGAGTCCTACCGAATGTGTAAGATCTAGAAAAACCGAAGTGTACGGAGTTCATGGAGGTAGGCCCAGGCCCACTGGGGCTGTAGTGCCAAGGGGGGAAAAAAACTTATACAACAAATGATGAAACTTTCTTTTGAATTCTCAGCCGCTATTGCACTAGTGAGTAAACAACATCATGACTAGGAAACGAATTAACAAAGCAAAGAATAATCATTTAATTCGTTCGCTACAGCTTCCATACTGTACTTGGGCCTAGTTAGTTTCCCGTCCAATGGGTACGAGGGTAAAGCTGCAGAAGCTTGAAAATGACTTTCGAAATGTGTTGATCTATACCCACACTACATCATACATGTTCATGGCGAGTGCCGACGTAGGTGGAGCTAATAAGTAACTACCTGCGCTGCTATTTCCATGTTCACATTAGATGAGGCAAAAACAGGTAAAGCTATCCCAGTTACTTACTTACTCACTTTAAACCGGGAACTCGACGCGAAGCGTCATGAAGGATGGCGTGTTGATGAATGGTGCAATCAGTGTTTCGAACAGCATGACTCATACAATGCGAACTGTAATACAATTACGGACGCAATAAGCTCGTATGAAATATCACTGCCGAGTCTCGAACCTGGTATTACAATTATAGTCACCCCTCGGCTGGGGCAGTGTTCCTATACTCTATTACATTCATAATCGCAAATTTACATGCTGATACCATGCTGATTGCAAGGCTTTTGGGCCTCAATAACAGAATTCGGTTTAATTTTACATGACATGTTGAAACATTACGGAAAATGTTGTTCCACGTTGTTAACGTATCCGGTTAAATGAACACAAATGGAAATTTGTAAATACTTTTTATAAATAACGAGATCATAGGGGTGGAATCGATTGGCCATTCATGCCGAAGGGGATTGTGGTCATGATTTGTCAAAAGGCGGTTCTACCTGTTCGTTACAACAATTGTAATTCAGTCATGTGTTTCCGTGATCATACAAGAGACCAATATTGCTTCAATTTACATGCAATCAAGGACATTTACTTCGTTATATGTGGGTTATTATAGGGGAACATCATAACAGCATTCTGTTATCTGGTAATGAGATTAATGACCGTTTAGAACTTAAATTCTTTAGAAAACCGTGAGTACCATGTAGGCTTACATCACAGTGATCATCAATCCTCATCTATTTCTATCCTCGAACGAAGAGAAAGCTAGGCAAGTGGTACGTTGAAGCGGTTGACCTTGAACTTCCTCCTCTTCACAGCGACACGGCTAGTGTCTTCATTAAATAATTCCAGTGCTTCCCGTTTGTACAATATTCGATCTAGTCATTGGCTTTTTCTATTGACCTACTCCTTCCAGCCGCACTATGGCCCTGGGACCGCCTCAGCCTCTAACAGAAATGAGTACAAGGTATATTCTTGGGGCTAAAGGGCGGCCAGCAACTAGAGCTGACTTCACCGCCATCTGTGAGCTGATTATCTAGAAAATGTGGGAGCTTCGACGTCTCACAACCCTAAGGGCCTCCACAACCTGTTACAGGGATAGCTTTACATTTTTTATATTATGTGGAACTGCGCCATGGTGAATGCTCCAACTTCTCTTCGTTGTAGGTCACTTTCTTACAAAGTTCTTACATTGCAGGCGTCACAGTGTCCACCCACAGTTATTTTTCGTTTTATTCTGTTAAATATTGAACACCAAAAAATGGCTGAAATACAATATGGAGATATCAGGAAGTTCTATACCTATGCACTGTCTTCGCTTGCTCTGAAAACGGGATATTGGGTTCGAATCCCACACAAGGCATGGATGTTTCTTGTGTGTATGCGTTTATTCTGTTTTTATGTTGTCCTGTGTTTAGGTAGAGGCCTTGCTACGAGCTGATCCCCCGTCGAAGGAGCCACTTAAGAGAACGGGACATCCAGACCCTTCGTACTTTACGCTAACACAAATTACGACATCGGTTTAACTTGTTTACTAAATGTTACAAATAACAACAAACAAGCAAATCAAAACAAACTCCATGGTTTTAGTCCACAAGCTAACTGTACAGAGCGAGCGACCGCCGCTTGTCGGCGAAGTTAGTGTCAAATTTAGCCGATAGAGAATGTCGCGTGGTCAAAGCAACGGATCCCCAAGGCCGTTAATCTCTGTTTTCTATACAAGAGCCGCTGTTTCCTAGAAATAGCTCCTAAGTTATCCTCACGAGGTTGAGTGGACCCCGTTTCAGATCCGCTACTTCTCAGAAAATCTGATAGCGCCGGGAATCGAACCCGGGACCTCTTGATCACAGAGGCGGTCTTTGTTATAAATACCGTGACTGTTAAAACCATTAGAAAGTTCAGGATGTTTACCTACACCCCAGAACACGTGCGTTCAGTAATGCCTCGAGTGCTGCATATACCTTTAGGGGTGCTTGTTTATGAAGCCGGTCACAGTGGCCGCGCGGTCTAAGGCATGAACTGTCTTCGCCCGCTCGAACACTGGGATCGCGTGTTCGAATCCCACTTGAAGTATGACTATCTGCGTACATTTATTCTGCGTTTGTGTTGTTCTGTAAGTAGCTGATCACTCGCCCAAGGAGTCCTACCGTATGTGTAAGAGCTAGAAAAACCGACGTGAACGGAGTTCATGGAGGTAGGCCTAGGCCCACTGGGGCTGTAGTGCCAGGGGGGGGGGGAAAGTGAAAGTATGGGAACCGAAACGCTGCCCCAAATCTTTGGCTGATTTCTCCTGTTATGGCCTAGGCACGTGGCTAGTAAGCCTGTATTCAGTAGCTTACGAATACGCCTAGCGACGCATCTTCTTTGGTACTGATTTACGCGAAGGTTCGAACATCAGTGCATTTTACATACATATGTTTAGCACACTGTTATTCTGAATCGTGTTTTCGAAATCTCAGTAAAATGTTCGCCATAGCAGAATTTGGGCCAAATTCGGCTATTTCGAAATTCCATAGCCGAGACAATTACACTTATTTTTATTTATTTATTTATTTATTTTATCGGGGGAATGCGCAGTTGGTTGAGAGGCTATGCTACAAGCTGGAAGGTCGCGGGTTCAAGTCCCGATGAGGTCATCCTTCCAGCCGCACTATGGACCTGGGGTTGACTCAGCCTCTAACAGAAATGAGTACCAGGAATTAATTAAATAATTTTCTTGGGGAGTAAAGCACGGCCGGCGCGTAGAGCTGACAACCTCATCGCCATTGAGCCGATTGTCTAGATAATTTGGGACCCTCAACGTCTCACAACCCTATGGGCCGTCACGGCCTGTTACAGGGATAGATTTACTTTACTTACTTTTATAAATTTTATCACATTCTTAAATTGATTAATAGTATTTTACTTCGGCTTATTTTGACTTCATGAACTGACAGGTTTTATTCTTAGATTTTCTATATATTTAAATACTCTTCTTTNAGTAATCAGTTATCTTCATCTGTTTCCTGTTACTTGCCCAGTACACACTTTCTAAATTACGTTCAATGTCCATATCAGAGAAATTCAGGAATGAAAATGACGTTAGATACGAGGCTGATGCAGTTGTGCATGTCGTACTAAGCAAGGTATAAAAACAGTTGCTTTATGAGGAATTAGTTCGTACCATTGAATATTTGACGCAATAGACAAGGTGTCGCAGAAACCGATGTTGCTATAGCCAAGTTTTACTGTATTTAAATACTCTTCTTTAAGTACATAGCGTCGAACAGAAGGGCACTTCTCAGTGATGCATTCGGAAGAATGTGCATGTAGGCAAGTAAAAGGTACAGCTATCCCTGTAACAGGCCGTGGAGGTCTATATGTTTCTGATAGGCCCACAGATGTCAGTGAGGTTGTCAGCCTTACGCGCCGGCCGCCCTTTACCACCAGGAAGAATCTTGGTACTCATTTCTGTTAGAGGCTGAGTCAACCCCAGGGCCATGGTGCGGCTGGAAGGATTAGGTCAATTGAAAAAAAAAACCAATGACGTCATCGGGAATCGATCCGGCGACCTTCCGGCTTGTAGCATAGTGCCTCAACCAACTACGGTAACGCCTGCCCCCGAATTTAAGCAGTCCTGTCTTAATTTAAGAAAGGGTCCTTCATTTGCGTAAAACGACTGAGGAAAACCACAATAAACCTGATTATAACCTGCACCCGGGATTTGGTATATACGTATCAGAAGTGTTAATGACTGAGTCGCTCCGTTCGGTATAATATAAGGACGGGGGTAGGCTGAGAAAGGGGTGGCTTCCCTAGAATAGCACGTTACCTTTGTTGCTGGTTTTACCACTGAGTTAATGCTTTAACCCGCTACCAGAGTACTACACAAATGGACAGCTTGATCTTCATACAGGAATAAGTAAAAATAAAATTAATTAGAGGCTGTACTGAGCATCGATAGCTCAGTCGGTAAAGCGACTGGCTACAGACTGGACGGCCGATAGGTCGGGATTCTAGTCTCGGTAGGGTCAATAATTTTCACATATCCACGTCGTCCAGACCGGCTCTGGGGCCCACAAAGCCTCGTGTCTAATTAGTTCAAAATTCGTCACTGCACTACACGTTTCTAATCTTGAAACTGTTGTATGATGGACGGTAAACAAAACAGAAAATTCTTTATCATCACAGGCTGTACTGGGGCCCAAGTTTATTTATTGTAAGCTATCTGCTTATGTTCACTGTAGACTGAACAGCGCCTATGGCCACCATTTGCACCATTGCCACCGAATACTGTGAGAAAATACAGGACGGGCCCTATCATTCCTGGTAGCTTTTGCTTGTTCCTCTGCTTTCAAATTGATCACTTCCACTTGGAGTTGCATTGTCCCGTCGACAAGATAATGCCACACCAAATCAACGTCCAGCCTCACACAGTGCCCACTTCTGAATACCGCGTCGAACTCCTCGGTGATGCCGCGGACGAGGATAACCTGCGATAGCTTCTCTATCTTGTTCTCGGCACGTAGCTTCACCTTGTATTTAAAGTTCGAAGCTTGAGCACTTGTGCCAAAAAGCTGCACAACACAGCAACACTTACCGTCCCTGAAACACTTATAGAAGAGGAATATCTCATTGTGCACCAGGAGGATGAAGACTGAGTCGTTTGTCTCTGGGGACAGAAATCTGGCTTCAGTGCAGATTCGGTCTTCGTGACGAGTTTCAAAATGCGTGATGAATTCCTTGAACTCTCCGCTCCAATCACAATTTATTCCGGGAACTCTGGCTAGTGGACAAGCATGAATTCCATGATGGCAGACAGCTTGATGTTCTTTGATGTGTTCCCCTGAGAATGTTTCTTCACAACCTTCTTCCAGGAATTTGCATGGGTAGTTGAGTTTGTAGCAGAGGTCCTCCAACGCGTAGTTCCTGGCCTCCAGGATTGGGTCTCTGCAATTCGGACACGTGTCAAGATTAGGCCTGCAGTTACTGCATATGTTGTGTCCGTTTTGGCACAAGATTATTGGAGGGGTCATATAATCCATGCACACCGGACATTCTATGTTCTTCAGCAAACTTCGCTCCAGATCTTCAGCTCGGCCGTCAGACACGCCTGGATTGGTGGAATCTGCGATGAAAATAAAATTCAAACCATCAAACGAGTTCATTAAGAGGGAGGTTCAGTAAATAAGTCACAAATGGATGTAAAACGTAAAACAGTTGATATTCGAACCAAGAAAAAACATTTATTTCTCGACGTACCCCCCACCGACACTGACACAGTTGTCCCGTCGCTTTACTAGTCCAAACCCGCAGCATAGAAATCTTTTTGACTGTTGTCTCAGCCACTTTCGCATCTCGACGGGCATCATCTGCGACTTTCGAACGTTCTTGAAATAATTTATTGACCCAGTTGTGAACCGCTTTACGCGACAAACACTTCCCATCGTAAACAGGAAACATTTCCTTATGAATATCCCTTACAGTGAGTCGTTTGCCCACAGAAAACGCATAACAGAAAGCTGCTNTACAGTGAGTCTTTTTGCCCACAGAAAACGCATAACAGAAAGCTGCTCTTCGGTAGCCGTTCCCTAGCAATGGGCGTCCTTGTGGCTCCACTAATCCGCCTTTCTGGCGTCATGTCACAATATTCTTCATTGTCACCGAATGTGAGAATCTCATATCTGACTTACAGGGTACTTGAAAGTTACTTAATCGAAAGTCTTATTACGGTGCACATAAACATCCCCTACTGTTGCTACATGAATCAAGTCCACATACAAATTCATACGTCTGTCTGCCTGCCTTATCTATCAATCTATTTACCTATCTACCAACATACCTGCCTACCTACCTACCTATCTATGGTCCTACAGCCCTTTCTTGGGCCTTGGCCCTTTTCAGTTTCTTAACCCTGTAGACAGTCGGTGGGACTCCTTCGACGGGAGATCAGCCCGTCACAAGGCCGTTACCTACACAGAGAACAACACAAACACGGAATAAACGCACACAGACATCCATGCCTCGGTTGGGATTCGAACGCACGATCCCAGTGTTCAAGCTGGCTAAAACTGTTCATACCTTAGACCGCGCGTTCATTCTGATGGGCAATTCATACGTGTGCCTACTTCAAAATACAATCTGGGCCCTGAAGACTGGTAGGAAGAAAGGATAGGGCGTTTAGGAATGCATAATAGTCCTGTTTCTCTCAATTTTACTTATCAGGAACACAATAGTCCAGCGGAAAATTTATCTAACATAGAAAGTGCGTTTCATGTTTCGCAGCAACTGATGTTGCTTACGCTCGAGATGCGTGCACAAATGTAAGCAGGTCTTCATGTAAAGTATCCGTAATTACTGTCCCAGCTTCACAGATATTAGAATTTATCAATAAAATTTAATGAAAATACATTCAGTGATTCCCGAGTTAGTACACATAGAGAGGCAGGCTTGTGTAAACTTCGGCAGCTTTCAGAATGCGTCATAAGGGGCAGGACTTGCGCAGTACACCCAGTCTCCAAGTTGCAGTAGCTCACAATCTGTTGTTTCCCACAGCCAAAAAGTAACTTGCAGGATCTGAGGGTCTCATAGCGGCGGTTACAAACTTTTCTATTTTCTGGGACATAACGCCGTGTAATCCGTTGAAAGTCAGCTGATGTTTCGGAGGAACATGTCGCCTCCATCTTCAGGATCAAAAAATAAGCCACGCATGAAACCAGCGTGAAAACAGATGGCAAACAGAGCTCTACATGGCGTTATGTCTCACAAGATTCGCTTAGTGGGGGCTGGAATCCAATTGGGTCCGCTCGGCATGGCGGTCACTGATTATCCTATTGTAGCCTGCCCCGGGTGATTATGATGATGGAGAATTTGGTGGAATGAAAAGTGGCAGGGGAAACCGAAGTACTCGGAGTAAACCCGCCGCAGCGCCACTTTGTCCACCACAGATCCCACTTGACCAGACCCCGGGATAGAACACGGGCCGCCGCGGTTGGAAGCCAGCGACTACCCGCTGGAGCTATGGCGCGGCCTTGTCCCACAAGATAAAACTCTTCATGAAGTAACTTATCAATAGATGCTACATAACCTTACACAAAATTATGTCAGAAACAGTGAGGATGTATGTATAATATGAGGTTATCACAGCGGTGAATATGGGGAGTGCCATCACCTTGCATGTAACGGTATATACTCTGGTACGGGTTCACTAACGTTTAGTATCAATAACTTGCTTCTTTCTACTTTTCTTCGATTATGAATATGGAAGCAGTAGCTTCCTGTGAAATGTATGTGAATTTCTATCGGACTAGACGACGTCATATCCCAGAAGCTGGCACCCTTAATGGTAACGTAGGCTATGTCCTACCTCTGTTCCTTGTAATCCTGGAAAGACAGCGAGGCCACTTGCCGACACTTGTCCTCATCCACGTATTCACACTCATCTCCGTCTGCTCTCCGAACTGCACTGCCCTTTGTTCTGTGTGCGTAATCACAATTCGTATCCTGCCTTAGTCCTGACCGTCCCGAGACTTCGGCCTCTAGCGTTCAACGTAGGCACATAACGGCGTATTATTGGTCTACACACGAAGACATGGTTTCTCAAACTGTGAATCGCGACCCTGTAGAGCCTCGTGACATTTGTTAATGGTTGGTGAGTTAGGTAGTTAGTGCACGGCAGTGGAGTGAGTGAGTGAGTGAGAGGACTGCTGCAGCCCAGTCTTTCTGAGCTTCAGCTTTTATAAGCTGGTACCTGATGCACGGAGATAGTTCGGGAACGAAGAGTAAAAGGAATGTGTGCTGTTAGAAGCCGTTACCGAGCAACGACTGGTAAAGACACAGCAGACTGAAAATACTTAGTGCGTGCTGTAGTGAACTGTAGAGTATGTGAAATAGCGATAGTGCTATAGTTACGTGTAGTTACGAACTGTAAGTGTTCAATAAATCCAATTACCAATCCAAACTCATATACGTGACAGTATTAAAAGTTACAGTATTCTGGGATATGACACCATGCAGTCTGGTAGATCTCAACGTTCCGGAAGAACCTGGTGTCTCCATCGTCAGAGCAGATCTGCTTCATTATTCAACCAAGAAGATGAAGACAGCAGTTCGTCGAAACGCTGGTAAATGTCGCTACGAGACGTACGTCTCAAAAAACGGCAATAGCCATACTGACAGCCATGAAACTATCAAATCTTGCAAATAAAATACTGGGATTAAAATGGCAAGCGGTGTGTGTAGTAAATGCAAACAAACATTTTCATAAATGTAGAAGAAACTACAGCATAAGCATTATCCCGGCACTTGCCTGGAGAGACTGAGTAAAATCATGGAAAACCTCAGTCAGGATAGTCTGTTCCCGGCCGAGGTTCGAACCGAGCGCATCCCGAATAGGAGACAAGCGGGTTATCGCTACGCTAACGCGCTCTGTTAGTTACAGAAAAAATTAAAATTAGGATGGTGGGCCTAATTACATTACCAATATTACATGATGCAAGAAGCGAGACACAATTTCCTAGTGTCTGAAATTGTGACTGTTCATGTCGGGGTTTTAAGTGGCCATCGCGGACGCTGATGTCATCCACAAGCTCATGTATTTCGTCACCACACAAGCAGCTGCATGTTACGGCGAGACGTTCATTCCCGTTGCTGTCACGTGTTTCCTTTAGCAAGAACGTCGTTTCTGGACTTGCCTCAATCGCGCTTAGTTAAACCATAAATACGTGTAAAAAAAACGAAACTGAAATTACAGTAAACCCTCTCTAATCGTATTAATTAAAGGGAGGGAAGGTCATCCAGATTAATAAAACAAAAAAGAGCCCCAAAAGACAAAAAGAACGTTTAGAAAGCAAATAAATGGAAAATATAATAATAAAGGGAGTGCTGAAGAAAATAAATAAAAAAATATCGTTGCAGTAATTTCTTATTCTGTCAGAAGCTGATATTCAGGACCTCCTTCACCCAGCTCAAGCCAATTTCAGATATTTTCTTGCGTGGTTTCAGTCTCTCCAACCGCCTTCAACACAGTCTGCAATTCCTCTTGCTCCTAAATGCCGAGTGTCTTTTAAAGTACGTACTCAACTGTGAACAGAATTTTTTATATTCCGATCCGGATTATCCGACAAATGGATTGACTATAACCGGATTAAGGATGGTTTATTATACTAAATCCTCGAAATGTTTACTGTTAGACCTTCTTGGATTACCTGATGGACACATACATGGCGCTAGCATTTATTCTAGTTCTAGGGGGTGGGGGAGCAAGAAAATTTGTTTGCAGGCCGACATTTAAGCCGTGTAAGCCTTAATTTACTAAGCGCCGTGTAGTATTAAGAGCATTAGAATCTGCTAGCTGCTTCATGATGCTTTCGTAGTTAGCTTATTCTTCGACCTTGAAGATGGAGGCAGCATTTCCTCCGAAACATATGCTTTCTGCGGATTACACGGCGTTGTATCCCAGAAGATATAATTTTAAATAACTTCAATTTTTGGCGTTAGTATTGGGTAATGTCCTCCATTTGATTTTGATTCACCCCCCCCCCATAGACTTCGGGGAGAGGGCGCCCATGGACCTCAAAATGGGATGATGTCCCAGGGCCTTTCTGGGCAACGGCTCGGTAGACCCGTTCCCGCAGAAATGAATCGACGCGCAACAACAGAGGTACTTTTGGAAAACGGGGGTTTCTACTCGGTCCTTGGCGAGAAGTTATAAGGAAGAAAACTGCGGCGGCCAAGTCAACTCTGTTGACAATATTCTTCATCTTTGAACATTTTTGCACTGCCACTTCGATGCCCAAAAATTGCACTATAGAGTACACATGTATTGTCAGCACGGTGTGATGTTAGTGATAAGGTGGATATAGTGGTATTAGAGGCAGCTAGGATTTTGTGTTGATGATTATGAGGAACAGCGGCAGATTTAATTATTAAAGATGCTTTAACTTTTATTACGATTTGAAGCAGCTGAAGGGTCAGAATTTTTTGTCACGTCGCGATTCTATGCAGGGCCGTAGGCCATAGTAAGCGAAGGGGTGGGCGTTGTCTCATCATGCCGCTAGATGGCAACCACTGCGCGATCCTACGCGGCCGTTCATCATGGCGTCTGTTGCCCTTCTTATGCCATAAAGTAAGAATGAATGTATGAGGGGTAGGCCTTCTCGGCCCTTGCACCGCGACCTACAGTGGTCTATTGTGCTTACGCCATAAAGTAACTGTTCCACATGTGTCGGTTTCAGCTGCACTGAGCTGATTTGTGACTGTATCAAGAGGTGAGGAAGTGTGTGATGTCTGATATTCCACTGCAGTCATTATCAAGGTTACGGTCATCTGATGTTTCCATACGGAATTATCCATACATCATAGTAACTGAAGAATACCATCTTCTGGGATGTAATCCCGTGTAGTATGGTAAATGTTTTACCGGCTTTCTGAGGAACGTACTGCCTCCATCTTCAGGACGGAACGGTGTGCGAAGCAACAATCAGAACTCTGCAACCAAGTAGGAAACTGAAGAAAGCAGTCTTCTGGGATTTGGCACCGTCTATATGTGGTGTTAACCGACGTTTCGGAGGAACGTATCGCCTCCATCTTCAGGGCAGAAGAAAAAAATATAAGAAATCCGCAAGCGAAGAGACCTGAAGATGGAGGAGATACGTTCCTCCGAAACGTCGGTTAACACCACATATACACGGTGCCAAATCCCAGAAGACTGCTTTCTTCATAGTCACCTCCGTGAAAGCCTCAAATCTTACATAAGTAGGAAACTGCTTGCTTCTTGCTGGTTGTTTGCTTAGCTTAGTCTTCGACTTCGACTTTGAAGTTGTAGATAATTTACGGCTTATAATTTCAATAAATGTCTAGCAGACTATATGGCATCGCATCCTAGTGCTCTTGGCAGTGAGAACTTGAAATCCATGTCGCAATTGTTCTCGATTCTGTGGGAATAACGTAGAGACGTGGAAGAACTGAAGGGAGATATTTTGACATATGACGTAATAACTTCTCCATAGGGAGGCGGATTAGAATACCTCCACCGTAGCCCTGCGATTTTCAGAAGGCAACGAAAAGGGAACCCATTGCCTGGGTGCATAACTTGGTCACTTTGTCACTGGGGCACATAAATACAGAGACCTGGTCCTCCAGGTTGGGGTTGGGGGCAGGGCTGTGGAGCTCTTTAAAGAATGATGATGATGATACAGTCTTGTGTAGTCACTGTCGCAGTTTATTTTCAACAGAATGAAATTTTCGCATATTTATGTTGCAAGGAATATATCAAGTAATTTAACGTACTTGTTTATTAAAATAATTACTTTATCTATAAAATAGACATGTACATTAAAACTGAAATGACGAAACTTTCGTCATTTTTAGTTTAATCCCTCCTATTAACTTTTCCTTATCTTCGTAGAATTACTGGGTTTCTGTACTTTGTTTCATCGTCTTGTATTCTAGAAAAAAAAACACGACGTTTCGGAAACTGGATCTATTTCCGTCCTCAGATGAGGGAGGAAGACACCTACTCAGTTGGGCCAAAAAGCCAGTAATTCTGTGTGTTATGCACCATCGTCAGAACCGTTTAGAACCTACTTATCTATTTATGAATATGGTAAAACAGTTTCTAATGTTGAAAATTCAAAACGTAATTATATGATTATTGAGGAAAGGCTAGAGAGTTCTCTTTCACTGCCATGAAACAACGAAAGGGACAGGAGTTTAGGCTTAGCAAGGAACATTTTGAAAAAGAGTACTCATCTGAAACTTAATAAAATTTTAGCGCGAATTTATTAATTGCAGAAAGTGACGCGCAAAAATTTCATTTAACGTGGGTTTTACATTTAGCTCTGCTCCTTCGTGTGAGATGATTTAATTACATTTCCTGTTTAAGAACAAATAGGTCTTAACGTAATCTTGAAATTCTTCCAAGTGTTTTTTCTGCACACGACTTTGTGGGACGTTTGAGAGGGAGAGCAACAGTTTCCAACCAAAACCTGTAAAGTATGTGTACTAATAAAATGTTGCACGGGAACTTGAGTTTTCGAAACGTCCTTTTTTTCTGAACGTAATTTTTTTAATGTTATTTCAGGTTTCCGTTGGCTGGCTTCTTCGCTTGAGAAGAAAACTCCCTGCACTCGTACGTACGCCCAAGAGATGGGCACATGCATTTCCTGCATATCACCTGTGATTTGTACGCTTAACCTAACATACACTGAGCAGAAAACCGGGGATGACATGAATGAAAGAAAAGCTGCATACATGTTATATGGGGTATATATATACAAGGAATAATTATTTGGGAAACCCAGTAGTAGATGGGAGGATATTCAAATTGAAGTTGATGAAATTGATTGAAGGCTGGTTTCAGCTGGATCAGCATGAGGATAGGTGGCACTTTCATGTAAATATGATAATGAATGTTTCAGTTCATTAGTAGAAGGTGGTTGTTGTATGCAGTTACTTTTCCAATATGCGTATTTCGTATCCCGTATATGGGACAAATCCTTTTTTGAAATGGAACTAATAGTATTCCGTTAAGGCTTATGAGCTCCTAATTATGTAATTTTGTACGTTTTCTTATTCCTTCCTCTTCATCAGAGTGAAATATTCTCCTAGTTCTCCTAGTGTAAGAGAGAGCTTTTCCTCGTGCTGCCATGTTTAAGAGTCTATCACGCTGAGAACCTCTTGTCTCTTTTTCTCTGAAGTTCAGGCCTGTCAAGTGATAACAGCATCTGACACTTGTCTACTGTAAAAAGGAGTGACTAAAGCAAGATGGTGAAATCAAGGTGTACCAGCCCACAGTAAGCTCCAATTTTAATCTAGAAACAGAGCAGCAGAAGGAAACTGATTTCTTTAGTAGAAAAGATTTATCCTCATTTGGTTTTCGTATTAAAAGTATAAAATTGATATTACGTGCATAATTTTTAGTAGAATTATATGACAACTTCAACATTCAAACTATCGCACTTACTCTCGTTTAATTAAAGTTTTAAAATCATTCAGAAGATGAGCTAGTTTTTGTTTTGAAAGGAAATATATAGGCTACACTTGTTCTGGGATTAAAATTGTAACATTAACATAAAATCCATTATCCGCAGTAAAGGAATTAACAGTTGCACGGTCCAGACTAAGGCAGTTACCCTTCTGAGTCAGAGTATTAAAGTCATCTCGGAAGTGTGCAACCAGTTTGGTTACGCTTAACTTTTCATATCGGTTCTCAGCGTAAATATCGCATCTGTACTGGTAAGTCAGCATACAATTATATGAAGTACAGGCGTGCTGCACGACACAGTATAGCCTGTCTGGGTCAGTTACGGCAACCGCATAACAAAGGAAGTACTCGGCATAAACATTCATTAACATCACACAGTTACGAGACAGTCTGATGAAGTTAGTTGAAACAGTGTAATTCGCGTGGCTCGTGTCGACATGCATTTCCCTGTATCTGTTGTCGCCTTTCCAAGGACAAGCACCAGAAGGTAACATACCCAGAGGGCAAAGGACGGGTGGATTCAGAAACCCTTGTAAATGTAGTGGAAGATTAAGTTCAGGAAGTCCTTGAGGTGCGGAGTTCATGCCCACTTCTGTAGCTGCGTTGTATTGTTGATCGTGTGCCATTTGGGGCATAGGATTATTGGTTACTTTCTGAGGAAATGTTTTTCCGTAGTACGTTTGCATTTGTGTGTTTACTGTTTGGTGCTGGAGTAATTCTTGAGGTCCAGTTTGGTATCTGGGGTAATTTCGTTCAGTTTTCGATAGATATGGTTCCTGGTTAGTTTCATGCTTCATTTTCTCCCCACTGGACTGATTATGATTTCCTGCTTGTTCTGGGAGATGATTTCCATGTCGTAACCATTCATTCTGCAGAAGTCCTTTGCCTGAGCCAACATTACTGTGATGTGTATGTGTGCTTCCTTTCTGCCGAGTTAGAATTCTATATTGAACATTTGTTTGGGAGGAGGAGACTTGCTGTTTTGGTGGAAGGGGTTGCATTTCTGGTTTGTCTTCCTCTTCTTGATCAAGAACCTTTCGTAGAAGCTCCTTTACAATGCTTGGTGGTGGTTGTTCTCCTTGCGAGAGTTCTAACAGTTCCTGCGTCCCCTGCCCATGTTCCGGCCTCTCAGCTTCACGTGCAAACTGCTTCGTTTCTCTATCTTCCTCCGTTTCCTTTGCTGCGTCGTCTATCGCCGTTCTCCACGGCCGGGACATGCTGTAACAGAACACACATAACATTACAACTAACGATGTATAGGAGATACTTAAAAATTATAAGGCAAGGTAAAGATAGACTTCTCGCAAGGCCAACAACCACCACCAAGCATTGTAAAGGAGCTTCTACGAAAGGTTTTTGATCAAGAAGAGGAAGACAAACCAGAAATGCAACCCCTTCCACCAAAACAGCATGTCTCCTCCTCCCAAACTAACACCGCTCTTTTCCAACCCGCCTTAGCTTCTTATCGGCGCAGTCGGAATGGTGCTATCCCTGCTACACCTGTTTCTACCTTAGGACAGTGTATGATGGCTACTGGAAGTTGTCCTCACAGATCAAACTAAGGAAGATCGGTATAGGTACGGGAAACTAGCTGGGTCGGTTTGCATGGGTCTCAGGGTAGCGATGCC